AAATTCCTGACCTTTGTGCACGAGTACTACAAGGAATGCTCAACCATCCTTGATGTCAATCCGGATTTCCACTTCGTTCCTGAACACGAGAGACCGCATGGAGTTAAGGTATTCTGGTTGAAGGCAAGATTCAACGATTACTGGCATCCGACACTCCAAGGTGAAGGACATCATGCAGAGAAGCAATACATGGACTTCATCAAGAAGGTCTACAGCATCTGCTGCTACAGCAATGCTCAATCCGAAGTTTACGGAACCGACATCATCCCGATGGTATGCCACAACGGCAACATTGATCTCGATAAGACCGTCCAGAATGTCGAACAGGTTTGCAAATATTTCCGCATTGAAACATCCAAGGCGAAACAGATCACAGATCTCATCCTCTGGCGAATTGAGAGAATGAGCAGATCGTTTTCCGGATGTCTTCGACATGATCCAAGGCATGGAATCCATAAGGAATGCAAACGCAGGTGGAAATGGGTCCTGATGGATCCGTCGAGCTCTATGACGCATTGACCTGCGTCACACATGCCAGGAACTTCATTGGAAACAAGCCAGGACTTCTCTTGATGGCTATGTTCCCGAGCTATGGAAAATCACGTTTCGAACTTGCGTTCGTATTTCCATCCGTGGACGGGACATATAAAGAGCGCAAGGCACGGGGAGAAATTGTTCCAAGGAATCGATGGATCGACAAGCTCAACACCAGATCCGCACAAAGTGCACTCAGGCCCGATGGCAAGGACTTCTATGTTGATCCTGAGATGGAGTTCTATGTGAAACAGCGGCCTTTGGACGACCCCTGTTCTCTGAGCAGAAGGAGCCTCATTACGACGAACCGGACTATGATTTGCCAACGGAATCCATTCCGCCAAGTCCGCATCCGTCAAGATCCGAGGCGCCTCATGGAGATGAAAGCACAGCTCAGCCCAAGTACAGAATGCGAAGGCCGGCACCACCATCCGTTGAAGAAGAGAGAAAGATCAAGCCGTTCTCGAAGAAGCCCATCACATCATGTTCCACGCAACCTATGGAAGTCAGCTCTACAGCATCATGGAGCAAGGGTTCAAATCTGGGAAGTCCCAGTCAAACCCTTCGGGGAGAATGCACGTTCACATGGCATGCATCGATGACGTCATCCTCGAAGACGACGATTCAGAAACCGCATTGACCCATGTGCCAGCAGGAAGAGATGCGTTGCTGATCCTTGCGTTTCTCAAGGACCAAGACTATGGCATCCGCCTTTCCGAAGAGAGAACGGCGTTGACAGACAAAACCATCGAGGCAAGAAACATTGTTGCAGCATTCGAACCTGATGGCAGCCTCATGGCGAGCAACAAGTGGATCATGAAGAAGCACCTCGATTATGAAGACTTCGAGATGTACGACACCAAGATCCGCGAATTCGCCGATGCCTTCTCACGTATGTGAATTCCACCAAGCACAACAAGGAAAAAGATACCTCCTCAGAGACCAAGAAGAGACGTCATTCCACCGATCAGGACTCCACCGAAGGAGAAATGATGGAACCCTCCGGGGAAAGATCCGTCAAGCCCAAGGTCATCGTGGAATATCACAGTTCAGAGATCCTAGAAGAGTTCATCCAAGAACTCAAGGAAAGCTATCTCGAAATAGATATGAACAAAAAGGACGCAGAGGAAGAGCTCGCGGGGATCAAGGAAGAACTCAAACGCTTCATGAACCAGTTCAACAAAGATCCGAAAGGAGCTCATCCCAAGTTGACAGAGTGCGAGAGAGCCTCATTGGCACATGTCGATCCTGATGTCAATCTCGGTGAAGAAGAATTCTACTTCCCTCATCGAGGAGAATGTCCCACCATTGACGAGTACAAGCAAGCTCAACCAGGATCCGGATATCCGATCAAGCTGCCGCTTGGACTGAAGAAGCTAAGGTCACAAGATGACCCGAAACTCATCCGAGCCTATGCCGATATCCTGGGATCGCTGATGCAGCCGACTGACCGTCCTTCCGTGGACTATCTCAACATGCATGAGTTCACCTCATCCATAGGGATCAACATCCTTACCCTGAACCATGGAAACCTCACAAGGAATTCAAAGTTGGACAACAGGGAGGTGTACAACATGCCGATGAAGGATCGACCGATCGTCAAGATGATGATGCAGAACAGTGCACACATCTTATGCCTGAATGAGGCAGACGCATTCTTCAGTCCGAATGATGAGAAATCCAGGGAGCTCATCAAGACGTTCATCCGATACGGTTACAAGGGCATTGTGATCAAACAATGGTCATCCAGACCGATCGCATGCTTTGTCCGCGGCGGACCATCTGCAAGAGTGGAACTTCTGGCAAGACACATTTCCAACAGGAGCCAGAATTGGGGAACCACATTCGGAATGTTCAGATGTTTCTTCGGAACCAAAGAAGATGGCACTGATCCCGAATACGAAACTCCGACCTCGGATTGCTTGGCAACCACAGGAACATCCATGTTTACCGAATCCAAGAAGTACATTGGATCGAGATTGCCAGCACGCACCATTGTCCAAGGACATGGCCGAGACAAGGAGATCGTCGTTCTCCACATCGATCAGAGTGATGAGTTTCATGGCATGATCCCGAAATCATCCGACACATCATACTACGAGTATGATGACCGCCACATCACGAGGGCAGACTTGCCATTCGCGACCATTGGAGTTTTCCACATCCATCCGTCACTTAGTCATGGAGCAGCAAAAGAAGATCTTCAGAACGAAATCATGCCGCTCGTGACCTTGTACCGATGCGATGCGATCACCGGAGACGCCAACAAATCGGCGAACACGTACAGCAAACTCCAGCATGTCTACAATCCAACCAACGGTCTCGTGAACATCCTCATGAGAGCATATCAGAGATTGTGGAATGCGACGAAGAATTTGCCACTCGTGGACAGAATTCAGTATACGGTGGAGACTTCGTGCACCCTGAAATCCATTGTCCGTCATCACCTGTACATGAAATGCGGATCAGGTTTTGATCGAACATTCCCAGATGTGATGATGACTATCGTATTTGGATGGGGCAAAACGAACATCCAGCAGGACTTCCGGAAGATCGAGATGAACAATATGGATGATGAACAACTGGAATTCATGCGGAACCATCCGAACAAGGCCATTTTCGATTACCAGGTCTTATTAGCAGAGCGCTACAAGCACGTGAACAATGAAATGTTCATGAACGGCTCGCAGGACTCCGACTCCCACAGTCCTCTCATGGTTTACATCCGCAGCAGATCTGCAACCAGCAAACGCAGCTCTGAGAGATACCAGGATTACGTCAAGAAGAGACAATCCTGGACCACGCAGGAGTACAAGGACTACAACAAGCAGTGGGGATATCAGAAGCAGCGGAAGGACTATAGCAGTTCGACCTGGAATGATTATGGAGACCATGGCAGTCAATCCGACAGCAGTCGCCGATGGTATCGTCGATCCGACTGACCATGAAGATACGTTCAGCACCACGAGCAATCCAGATGATTGATCCTCCTCGTCTACAAGACTATACCATGAGTGAGTGATCAATAGTTTCACAATTGTTCCGCGTGTACATAGCGTTGTACATCACCCTTTGATACAATTAGGTATCCAAAAAGAAGCGTACATAGTGTTTCCCATTTCGAAGGCCAAGACATTTCATCCAGCAGAAAAAGGATGAATCCGGCTCTTTTAATCACATGGCTACGGCACACATTAAGGCTACGGTCAAAGGCCATGAAGCCAGTAGTATTTCATACTTTGTGCTGGAGATCAAAAGAAATTTGTGTCTGTTTTTGTGTTGTTTTCGCACAGATTGATCTCCCGCAACATTTGGCTCAAGGCCCCTTTTGCATAATCACGACCGATTATTGGCATATTGGACTCTCTCCGGAATAGATTCAGGGACCAACAACGACCTCAACTACCACAGGGTTCCAGTTCCCTCCGGGGATAGGCACCTGGGGCAGTGGGCCCCCCAAACAGTCAAAACAGTGCTCGAGGATCCTGAATAAGGATCTGGCAGGGAGCTTGGATGACTTGAGTATTGCTTTAGTATTGCCACTACTTGGTTTAGTATTGCCAGCACTTCCTTTTGGGTTGCCCCTAAGACTTGATGGACGTTATACATGGTGCCCAAACCCTTTGAAGATGCTCAGGGCCCCTTGAGGGTAACCCCCTTTGCAGGACTGTTTTGAGAGTGCTTTTGCATGGATTAAAGTAAAGGATTTTGATGGTTGGGGCTTGGGAGCAAACCAGGAATTCTCAGGCTCAACTCAGGTCTTGGCCTGGTCCCTTGCTAAGCTTTTAGATTTGGAGCCCCTTTTAAAAGCGAGAGGCTGAGATCTGACGCACATCACCTGACCTCACCTCGCCGCCTCGCATCGCAGCGAAGCACATCCCTCACAGCACATCACACGTAGTCGCATCGCTGCACGGCCCACCGCAGCTCACTCTGGATGTTCAAAAATGCGTACAGTGCCGCAACGACTTCGATGTGACCCGCCCGAAGTCCGCAGAGGGTTCACTTTCGATGCTCAAAACGCGCGCCACGCCACAGCGACAGCGAGTCAAAGTCCGCGGTTCATTTTTGCGGAAATTCGCGCTGCGCCACAGCTGGAGCGAGCCGTCTCACCCAAAGACCACAGCGCCACAGTGGTAGCGATTTCACACTCTAAGTCCGCAGGCGGTTGATGCTTAAATTCGCAGCGCGCCACAGCAGGAGCGCTCAACGCACCAAACGTCCGCCGAGGGTGCACCAATTCCAACATTTCTGGAATCCGCACGGCACCACAGCGAGAGCGCAGCCTTGGCGGGCCGCGCACTTTGTGCGAGCCTGTGCAGGCGAAACGACCAGCCCAGGGCGAGCACCTTGATTGATAGCCCTGTCTTTAAAGACCCTGCCTCGCGCCTAACGCAAGAACCCCTGTTAGAGACACTGTTTACGGAAAACTGTTGGCTACGGGTCCGGCTTGGTTGAGCCTTCAGGTGGAAACTGCAGGCTTGGCAGCGGGGCGCCGTGGTCTCTGTGGTTTTCATCGGCATCCTCCTAGGCGCAGCTCTTTCCTCGGCCTGGCGCGGTCTGGAGAGGGATGTTTCTTTTGCCAGCCGCCCCTTGCTAGAAGAACGACTGCTTCAGGGCGCAGGGGCAGGTCCAAACTCATTTGAGTTTGTTCTTTTTGGTTCTGTTCATGTTTTGTTTTGGTGGGGGGGGGCCTGCAAAGAACAAGTACGGTCTGAAACTGGCCGAGCTGCGCGAATCACCCCTGCTAGAGGATGATTTGTGAATATGCGGGCATGTGGGTTCTCCCATGCGCGCCCTGCAGGTAACACAAGCAGCGGCCCGCAGCTTGCCGGCATGGCGTCAGGCATGGGAGGGGTGGCTATGAGAACCAAAGCTCGCAAACCCTATCGGGTCAGGACCCCATGCTTTTAGATCTTTTGGTCTTGGAGGCTCCAGGCCATGGCCGAACACGCACATCAAAGACACCATATGACAAACTCCTTTCTTATCCACCAGCAAGGGGTGTTGGTGTCACTTGCTTGCCCGGGGCTCCCCAAAGCATGGATACAGAGGATGCCCTCGACCCAAACCTATTAAGCCCCTGTGGCCAATCCCATCGGCCTATAAAGCTGTTCGTTTCGGCTGCCCAGGATTGGTGATGGCCTCTCAGCAGCAAGATGTGCGTTGGTGCTGGAAGTGTTGCACAAAGAAGCTGCAAACAGCTCGATGAAGACTCGGCTTTCACTTAATGACTTAGTGCGTTGCACCGAAGGCTGTGTTTGAGAGCGGCCCTGAGGAGTCGGACGCAAATTGCCAGTGCTTGCCTCCTTTGTGGGCATTGTGGTTTTCAGTGTCCTCTCCGCATCAGCTACAGGACTTGCAGACTGAGAGTGCTGATCAGCTCTGTTATCCCCCAGGGCCAGCAGTGAAAGCAACAATTCAAGCTGGAACTCGCATGCACGTTCTGTCACAGCGCGAAGTTTGCCTGCTTTCCTGCTCTAGGGCATGGTTGGCTTTCTCGGCTTTTTGTTTGCAAGCTGTGGCTGCAGGCCTGTAGGCTGAACCAAGGGATCAAGGGGCTCATGCAGGATTCATTATGCTGGCGGCCATCCGCATGTTCGTGGGAGCATCTTTCGGGATCGGCCAGCCCGCGTGGCTCGGCGAGATCAGTGAAGCTCGGGCGACCGTATGCGATCGTCATTTCGTCATTTGCCGATTTCAGAAGATGCCCGTAGGTTTGAGTATCCCCTGCGGTGAGCTCTTGGAATCAACTTTAGGCTTGCGGATTGGTCGGGCTTCGTCTGGAGATGCCTTGAGAATCACACATGGCGTGGGAAGAGGGGGCCTGCCATGACTGCTCGCTTCAAAACTGAAAGTGGGGTGCGGCGGAGCTGAGGATTCTTACCTTGCTGAATGTCGCCTGGCATTGGTTGGCTATTTGGGCAGGTGGGCAGTGGCAGGCGTGCAGCCAGGTAACTAGGCAGCCAGGCACGGGCCCATTCCAGTTGTGGGGTGAGCGGGGGGCCGTGTATCCGGAAAATTATGAAATGAGCCTTTTGGTGGGAAAACAGTAGAACATTTGGTGTTGGCAGCACTTTCGCACCAAGCTTCGGTGCAACCAAGCATCCTCATTTCTTACAGCCCTTAGCAGTCTGGTTCCTGAGCGGAAAGCTTGTGGCTTGCAGCTCCAAGGATATCACGCCTTCCAGGCACGAGGCATGTTGTGGTGCTGCTAGCGGGCAGGCTCTCGCATGCCAAAACCTACTCTTGTTGCATAGGGGCACGCGCAGATGGATAAGTGAGGGAGATGCAGCTGGATTCTATCCTTTGGCCGGCCTGTCGAATTTGCGCCGGAATTTGCCTCGGACCAGTCAGAACATTTTCGCGGGATGCTCCTAGACTTTTGGAAGCGAAGGAATCCGGGCCAGTCAGAACATCAATGCTCATTTTCGCGGGATGCTCCTAGACTTTTGGAAGCGAAGGAATCCAGGCCGGAAATCCTTTGAAGTGTTCGGGAACCAAGAAGTCCACTCGAAGTGAGTGAATCCCCCGAAGTACATCTCGCGTCCTCATGTGCCTGATGAACCAAATGTCCCTATACTTCTGATCCTATTCGAGTGTACATTTTTGCCGGGCCTGCATTTTCTGGCCCAAGAAGGGGACATTCTGCGCGTCAGCCGCGCAGGTGGCGGGTGTTGGTGGTGAGCCAGGGCCAGGGTTTGCCTCTTGGACCCAAATTCAGCTGCAGCCGCCGATGGTCTCGACCCTCAAGCAACCTGAAGGCCCTTTTCAGATATGTTTTCAGGGTTTTTGTTCCATTCCCTTTCGATTTTCGAGGGCTTGCAAGAAGAAGGTTCCTTGAAAATTTGAAGGTGGGCAGGATGGGTTTCACTTGTTGTACCCGTGCAAGATGTGGGTTCAACTCAGCGTGCTTGGGCTTTGAGAATGTCAGTCACGCCTGATGGCATTTGCTGGAAGACTTGGCGCATGTAGTTCCGATATGATCCGATGATTTCGTCCATTGCATCTCTGGACACATGGAACAAGTTGCGAGTTGTTTTTCCAGGAGAACGGATGTCGGTGTGTCGTCTTGCAGGTCCCTTCAAGCAGGCGATGCTTGTGACATGCCCGCCACGAGTTTGGACCGAGCAACAGCTTGGTTGCCAGGTTTTGCCTCGGCGAGATCTACGCAGCAAGCCTCATTTGGCCGCTTGGCTACATGCAGGATGCCCATGTGCATCCAGCTGTTGGCCTTCGCGCAGGTGGAATGATCCAAGCATGCAAGCGCTGGACTGGCGCTTCTTGGATGCATTCGTGTCGGGGCTCGCGCTGCCCCTTGCGTCAAGGTGTGCCTTCCCGTGTTGAAGCTGAAATTGGCCATTGACTCCTCAACCTTTCACGCACGCTTCAGGCTTTAACTGGGCGCTTGCCTTTCCTTACTGTAAGTGGGTCAATGTTTGGGTAAAGGCCGAAAGCAAATCCAGTGGGTTTCGAGGCAGTCACATTTCGGGTCGCGAAATATTTACTGCCAGACATTTTGCAATGACCGAGAGGTATGCTGCCAGTGGTTTGAGCATGTTTGAGCGGACCACCAGGTGCCACGGTCTCGAATCGGTTCAGGCTGGTTGTGCATCATGGGGGCCATACCCTCTATCACCGGATTCGTGCTAGCCTACTTCTTCCTCAAGGCGCGACAAGTTCCCATCCGGGCAATGGTAACACGCACTGCGAGGCAGTTGGGTTTGTCAATTGAGCTGCTGTTCTTCTGATGCGGCCGCCGGTCCTTCGCAACAGGAATCTCCTGGCTATTTGCTGGAGAATGGGCACCACGAAGAGGCGCAAGCAGTTCTGGAGTCTTTCAAGCGCCTTGCAGGCACTGCCCTTTGCAGGCCCCGTGTGCATTGCCCTTGCCTCTGTTGGATTTCAGGTCTCGTAGCTATGCCCGGGCTCCCTTTGGAGGGAAGACCTGCTGATATTAATGAAACAACTGTGGTTTGAACATGGAAGGGGCCGTCGGCCAAACCCTGTAGACTCGCACAGCGTTGCGCCGAAGCCGCTCCAGCCTGAGGTCCTGGAACGGAGCCGACCACGTGTGCTGCGAGTCTGTGACAGCGTCCTCTCAAGCAAGGACCATGGGCAAGCGGATGCGCAATGAACATACCGTCATGGCTGGAGGTAATGCACATTGGACCGCACGTCTTGCAGCTATACCTGTGCATTGTACCTTTGGATGATCAGAAATGCCTGCGCTGAAACAACTCCCTCAGCAGAGGCAGTCTTTCATGTCTCTACCCGGCTCTCTTTCAGCGCGTGGAACAACCACAGACGCATATGGAACATTGTTGTGGTGGTGCAGCTTGTGAGGCGTTGGCTTGCTGTCGCAGGACTCCCAGATCAGCGCGTCAGAATGTCGAGGCCATATTCTCCCGGTCTTTGAGCTTTGGCAGGGGGGTTGGTTGATTGTGTTGCCCCGTCGCTTGAGTGCCTGACTCAGTTGTTCAGTGGCACCCTTTTTCCTTTTCTTCTTTTTTTTGGGGGGGGGTGGCTGGCCCACTAAGTCGTCTTCCCCAACAAGGGTTCCCTTTTGTTTCCAGGGTCACTGAACAACTGAGTTGAGGGACGGGCAGCTGAGGATCCTCACCACGCTGGCAATGATGTACTCCTGCTTCATGCTGAACTGTGCATTTTACGGCAGCTTGTCTCTGGATCAACCACTAGATGCCTGACATGTCCCGCCATTCAGGATTCAGGAACTGGATGGGTCGCAAGATCGAACGATCAATGAAGTACTCCAAGCGAGGCAAGCAGCATGACTCAATGACGCGGTTTGGTCTGAGATAGTCGAGCCAAGGCACGCTATACTCGTTTCCCCAGGCGCATAGCTCAGTGTGCCCAAGGAATTGCTGGTAAATGTGAGCATTAGGAGCGGGGCAGTGCCTGAGTGGATGATATGCCCTCAAAATATGTTTCTGCAGACCTGAAAAGCAAATTGGATGCTGTGTGAGTGGCATGGGGACCCCAGGTCCTCTGTGTTATTCTCCACGACGCTAGGTGTTGCCTCACCCCATGTTAGGCAGCCCTGTCCCAATTCGCGGCTCTCTTTGGCCACTCGCAAACGCAGCATTGGGGCTGCCATTGGGGGCAAAAGCAAGGAATTTTCGGAGTTTCATACCCGCAAAGCCAAGGGTTGCAGAAATATGCGCCTGGGTTGAGGGACGTAACCCTTCGGCTCGCCTGTGGTATTGATTGACAACACCGCCGAGGTGATGATCTCCCCCCGGTTGATTCAATGCATCCGGGGTCGACAATACCCATTTCCAACTACTTCAGGTCTTGACTGACGTGAAGACGCCCTATGCTCCAGCCGTGGCCTTGATAGTCAGGGCCTCAGCCGTGCCTCGCTGCCAAAGGCAAGATCTCATAACCGAACGTGCCATTGGCGCACGACGGCTTGAGAGAAGTGCCAACTGCATCCCGCAGGCTG